TAAGAATAGCAGTGCTTGTGTCCCAGTTCTAGAGATGTTGCTACTTCTCGTGGGTGAGTTATCAATTCATTTATGGAAAAAGCTACATGGAAAACAAAAAGCAGTCCTTCAGGTCAGGGGAGATGTTCTGAATCAGCAAACAGACATAAAAAGAACTCTTATCTTAACTATCTCCTGAGCCTCGTAGTTCTCCTGTAACAACCAGAAAACTTTAAAAAGACTTGAGATATTCTTAGGGGTATGAACTGGGCCTAACTTTTATTTCTGATATTCCACCTTTAACCTGGACCTCACAGTCTTTCTGTAAAGCAAGCAGTAAAAAAAGATATGTTAGAGATTCAAGATTTCCCTGTGCTTCCTTGTGAAGTTTGGTGAAGAGCAATTTAAGAGGCATTGGGAAGGTGGGTGTGTTTCCCCAATCTCTTTCTGTGGCTAGAAAACAAAAGCTTCTAGGAAACTTTTTTTTTTTTTTTAAACTTCAAGGATGAACTGAAATGCCCCCTTCTTTACACTTTCCCTAATTCCCTTCTTCTGTCCTCTACCCTTGGAGCTGAAAGTAATTACTCCTGCCCTATGACTGTGCTGGACATGTTAACTGCACCCCTCCCTATCTTGCAGGGTCTTTCATTTTTTTCTCTTGTTGTTATTTATGCACAAATCTTGTTTCCCTGTCAGACTTTTGGAGTCCCGGGGTAAGCCCTCTGATCATTTTTTCATCCGTGCTGCATGCCTTGTACCCGGTGGATACTCAGAGGGGTTGGGATAAATAAGTAAAACGCATCTTCTGGATGTTTGATAAAACATCATCGACCTTTCTAGTTGATGACATTGTCTTCATCTCATTCTCTCTAGGTCTTCTTTTTACTTCTTGCTCCGCTGATAAATTAATATAGTGTCACAGCCAAATCCTAGTCTTTGCAAAGTACCTTTCCCATTGTTTCTGTCTTTGTTTCCTTGTCCTCCCCTTCCCACCCCTGGACATTGCTCGGGCCCAAGGGAAGACTGTCCATCCTGGGGGACAGCTTGCCTGACCGGCATAAGTATCAGTTCAGTACGGGGCTGAGAGTCAAGAGATAAAAAGGTCTCTTGGGGGTTTCTCTCCTGCCACAGATGTTACTTTGGGCAAGCCGTGTTGTCCCTTCCTGTCTTACAGCCCTCCTCTTTTCAGTGGGGGTGTGACAAAATGTATCCCCAATTCAAGTCACCAGAAATATCGTGAAGCACCTGTGGGCGTGCTTAAATATTATTTTTATGTGGGGGTCTTTGGTATTTCCATTGATTGCAGTTAGACAGTAAGGCCTAAGTTTTGTCATGGTTGTCATGGTTGGAGTGGTGACCCTTAAAATTCCATGAAGTTGAACTCCTTTTAATATGCAGATGGGTGTGCTGAGTCTTTGAGCTCAGGAGAGGGAGGAGGTTGGGGCTGAGGCAGGATGATGGTGGTGTTGGGAGTTCTAGAAAGCTCCTCTGGGACCTTTTGTTTTTAAAAACACACTCTCCCAAGTTGTGAAGGTGGGAAAGCAAGGATGAAAAAAAGACAGGGTGTACTGCTGACAAACTCTTGCCAAAGAACATAGGTGGCTTGGCCCTCAGGGAGTCCTAGTCTGAGGTAGAAGGAGCATTCTGGGGGAGGAGGGGAACCGGCAGTGTGTGTGTGTGTTGGGGGTTGGAGGCTGCTGAGCCCTCCCCCGTCCCTCATTGTCTTCATTTATTAGCCACATAATTGTGGAACAGGTTGTTCTTTTCTGTGACAATGTAAAACTCCCTTCCCCACCTCAACACAAAATAAAAATAGATTTTGAATGTTGTCGTGTGAACAGACCTACCACTGCCTTATTGAGTTTATTTGAGCCCTCTTCTCTGCCCCACCCCTACTATTCCTCCCCCCCACCATCACTACTCATCCCTACTGGCTCCTTAGTGCTTTGGAGACGAAAGGGGCAAAGATTCCTGAGGATACCAGCAGGACTGCTGAGGGAGAAGCTGGGCTGCCAATACTGGACTTTAAGCCTTAGCCACACTCGCTTAGTAATAACAACATACGCCTCTGCTTGTCACTCAGACCTCTTTGTAGTTTGTACCCCCAAGTTTCTGTGTACTGTGGGAAAGTCTGATTATGTACTTGAACTGTAAAATAAAGTTGCTACCAGAAGTGAAGAGGAAGAATAAGAGGCTGGGACTGATCTTTGAGAGGACCCCCTCTTGGGTACACTTGGGTGATGGTAGCCAGGGGCGGGTTCTGGGACAGCTGTGATTGTGCCATGGTGGTGTGCTAGTGAACGCTTCAACACACAGGTTCGGACGAAGTCTTCGAGATGCTCCAGGAATAGTAGGCATCAAGTCATGGATGGACATCTTCCAGACACTCTCATCCCGAGCCTAGAAGAAGCCAAGACCCCAGAGGAAAAGCACTTTTCTCAGAGCCCCAGAGTTGGTGGTGACCCTGAGACCAGAGCCCAGGTCTCTGGATTCCCAGTTGTGGGCATCAGCAGATATCACATTCAAGTTCTATGAGAGTCTAGATCTCTGACATTCACAAGATGTGTGGCACAGGGCAAGTTTCCTCATTTGTTAAACTATATTGTCACTCTGAGCCGTGCACAGTCATTGACATCCATGCGTCTGAGGGTTCTCTTCTTATTAAATAGTTTCTTGTATAATATGTTCCTATATTAACATTCCAGTTTTATGCCTGTAATTTTCCATTTCTCTTCTAATATGTTTTTCACTCCAAGAAGTTTTTAATGGTTTCCTTTAATAAAAAATGAGGAGCATTTTTATGGGACTGTGTACAACTAGTGATAACATCCTCCAAGATTCCCAGATGACAGTGATAACACATGCAGAAAGTAATATTATGGGCTAATATTTGTATTAAAATATAAAACTTGAAAGGTAGGAAAATCAGGCTAACTGCAGTATTTGTCTTGTTGTTCCAACTTGTGGTGTATTACCATAATACCTACTGAAGCTGATTTCAAGGTAAACCATAACAGGAAGTGAGCAATTTCCTTTTATTCACTACAAAATAAAGGGGTATATTAGTTGCTGCTATACATGAAAGAACATTATAACTTGTAGTATCCCTGAATTGACGTCAGCTTCCTAAATTTAAAATGCTGACTGAACCTGTGTGTGAGGGGGTGGAAAGGCAAAAAAAAAAAAAAAAAAAGAGGAGTTACTTCTGCCTGCTCTGTTAATCACAAAGAATAAAATAATAACATTTAGCTCTTTAGTGAATTCAAGGCTGTAATTCAGCAGGAGCTCCCCCGTTGTTTTAGAAACCACTGTACTGAGTTCTCTTAGCTCTATCTTAGATTCCCTGCTTACAATCGCTTTCATTGCTCCCTGTTTTAGCCCTAATTTATTTATCAGAATGGCCTAAATTCTTGTCTACACTGGAAAGATTTCTTTAGGCGAACATGCCTCAAACACTGACTACTCTCTAGTGTTTATTTATAAAATCAATTGACTCTGTTAATACTTTGCTCACGAAATTTTGTCTGCAGTTTATTCATCAGACATTTTCTGAGCACTTAACTACAGGCCGGTTGGAGGTGCTGGGGATACAGGGGGAGGAACGGCAAGACCCTGCCTTCCTGGCCCTCACACTCTGGAAATTCAGTGAGAGGAGACAGTAGGTAGCTAGGAATGGAATGGATGTGGGTTTTTTTGTACTTACCCTCCAACCCCTTGTTTCACTATGGAAAGAGCCTTGCTGTGGGTGACTACGCCACTATAGTTTAGTTCCATCTCTGCCACTAAGCAATGGGTAAGCAAATCACTTAGGGTATCTCATTCTGTATTTTGCGAGGTTGACGGCAGAAAAGTTTTTGTGTGTACAGGTGTGTGCCTCCAAGGTAACATCACAATACAGAATAATTACCATTACTAGTGGCATTCAGCTATCTCGCTGGGATCATTGATCTTTATCAGAATCTGGAAAACAGCTTATTTACTCGTTTGGCTCCTCTCCAAGGTGCAGTTGTACCCACTCTATGAGGCAGTTCCCCAACGGGGATGCCAGGAAGCCTTGGGGCATGGGTGGTGGAATATTGCTCTGCTGAAATCGGAGAACCAGAATTTCCACGCCCAGTCTGCAGTGGGCTCTGATCCAGTAGTCATGGACGACTTCTCTCAGGGATCCTTGACCAAAGCGAGGCCTGGGACAAATCCCTGACCCAACGGCCCCAGGGGTCTTCTGCTTCAACCAGTGAGCTGGCAGGAGGACCACATCTTAAACTGTCCCTTCTCATCACTCTGGTTCTGTGGAGATGGTGGGGGAAATACTGCTAAACAAGAGTGGCTGCTTGTGCCAGGCACACAGCTGTGTTTTTCACACATACCACTGCATTTAAATCTCAGAAGAAGAAACGTTAAACAGCTTAGCTGGTAATTGCATATATGGGTTTTTGAACCCATGTTTGTCTTGATTCCCGTAGCCTCTGCTTTTTCCATGATTGGAACTTTTCTTTCATTCTCAATTTATGAGATTGTATTTTTTCCCCTTTTAACTATCTCAAGTTCTCTGTGAAGTTTCGAATGCCCATTCACTTAAGAAAATGAGTCTTGATTGGATACTTTTTTTTTTTTAAAGGTTTTATGTTTTAATGGCTTTGGGGGGTTAATGACTTGTAAGGTGTCCAAACCAGTAAGTAATAGAGAGCATCTGTTGACTTCAGTAATAAATTTCAAACTTGTTTAGAATTCTGCTTATGTGTTAAATTTGAGTTTCTCCAGTGAGCCTTTTTGTATCTTAGATGATTTATATCTTTCTGGGGAATCATTTAGAGTGTGTGTTTTTTTAAACAAGTGGTCTTCATAAAGACCAGGGCAGACGGATATATATCACACTCACTCAAACATCTGGACTAGACAGGGCAGTTCTGTTTGATGTTTGTTACAGAAATGGCACCATCAAATGCTAACAACTGTTTTATTCTGATCTTAACATCATGTTTAAAACATGCCTTTCTTTTTTTTCCTGTTTTCTAACTTAGCATTACTCGACTGACTGGCAGAGACAGGAGAAGTAGATGTCCACGCCCACAGACCCTGGTGCGATGCCCCACCCAGGGCCTTCGCCAGGGCCCGGACCTTCCCCTGGACCAATTCTTGGACCTAGTCCAGGGCCAGGACCATCCCCAGGTTCCGTCCACAGTATGATGGGGCCCAGTCCTGGACCTCCAAGCGTCTCGCATCCTATGCCGACAATGGGGTCTGCAGACTTCCCACAGGAAGGCATGCATCAAATGCATAAGGTAGGAGTTCATTCTCCCGTTCAATCTCGACTTCTGATTCATGGATGGCTAATATTCCTGATAACCCCAGCCTTTTTTTCTATTATTGTCAACAAGAGAATCAAGCGAGATCTTTGTCTTATCTTGTATGTTATTAAAAAAGCACATTCTGAGGTACTTCTATCGCTACAAATGTTGTACCAGTCATGAAGGTCAGATGTTGGCTTTTTAAAATACTAAGATTCACTGTGCAGTTCTGACAGATGCTGGGATTTGTGGGTTGAAGGTGTTTTGGTTTGGTGAATGTGTATGCTAGCGTATAAGTCTTGTTTGTTTTTTTTCTGTGTTGAATAACTTACATCATCTACTAATGAATACATTGAAAATAATTCTTTCCTAAAAATGTTGACACTTATTAAAAAATTAAATCCCAAAGAGTAAAAAAATAAAATTCCTTTCCTAAACTTTTTTTTTTTTTTTAAGGCTCTATTGAAATTAAATAGTTCCTAGGCAATCCTTAAAATATACTTCTCTCTGTGAAGTAGTTTTATTCTGGTTTTGGAAGAAGATTTTGATTTTTGCAGGGCTCAGGTCTAGTTGTTTGTTTCTGGACCAAGGTTATAACTATCCTCTATTTATGAGACTCAGATTGTTGCTTTGGGGATGATCGTATCTGCACCCTTTGGCATTATGCCTTCACAGGAGATGCAAAAAGAGAGAGCAGCCTTTTGAGAAAGTAAACAAGGTCCTCTGTGACAATTTGCTTTGAAAGTTAGCAGCAGCCAAGGGAAACCTGTGAGGACGCTGCACTCTACCTGAAGGATCTGCCTAATGAAACAAGTAGAGGTTTCACACTCCTTTGGATGACATCACAGATGAATAGGGTGGTGGGGATGCTTCTTGATATTAACTAGGTGTGTTAGTTAGGTTCTCCAGAGAAACAGAACCAGCAGGAGATCTATCTATCTATCTTCATATGTAGACATAGATATAGATATGTATATAGATATAGATCTATCTATCTTTGTAGATAGATAGATAGATAGATAAAGAGATTTATTATAAGGAGTTGGCTCACACAATTATGGAGGTTGAGAAGTTCTACCATCTGCAGTCAGCAAGCTGGAGAGATCGAAGAGACCTGAGAGTTGCAGTCCAAGTCTGAAAGCATAAGCAGAAGAGGCAATGGTGTAAGTCCCAGGCTAAGGGCAGGAAAAGACCAACGTCCCACCTTAAGCAGGGAGCAGAGAAAGAGCGACTTCTCCTTTCCTTTGCCTTTGTATCCAGGCTCTCCATGAATTGAATGATACCCACTTGCATTATACAGGGCAGTCCAGTCCTCTTTATTCATTCTAACAATTCAAATGCTAGTCTCATCCAGGAACACCCTCACAGACACACCCAGAAATAATGTTTAACCAAATACCTGGGCACCAGTGGCCCAGTCAAGTTGACAGGTAAAATGAACCATCACAGTAGAGAAACAGTGGAAGAGACTAGCTTAAAACAAAAAGATTACCACAGAAAAGAGTAAGTCTTTTCTCTAATTGAGTAGGAATTTAAGTCAGTTTTAAGGTAAGATTATCGGAGCCGAAAGGGAAAATCCATTTGTTAATAATTTTGTTATTTGATGATTTTCAAATCTAGAAAGTAATAGATGTTTACTTTGAAAAGTAAAACAATATTGAGATAAATAAAATGGTAAATTCTAGCTTCACCCCAGGTAACAGTTTGTTGTATATGCTTTTTGCACCTTACTTTTCTTCATGTTCAGTAAAAATATTGTATAAGCACAGTATGTATATACAGTTGTGATTTTGTTTTTGCTTTTTTTTTTTACAGTAATAGGATCATATTGTCTCTGTTAATTACCCTGAAACTTTCTTTTTTCATTTAACGATGGATACCCCTATAATTTTACCAAGCTCTCTCCCCCTTTTTTTAATTCATTTTTTAGCTTGTCAGATACCTAGAGAAGTAAAGCTGCTTATTGTCTATGTCATATTTTTTCGGGGACATATTAAATGTAGTGGCATATGGAAATCATTAAATCGTCCTGTATTGAGATTAAATTAATTTGAGAGCTGTATTCTAGATCTGATCTGTCACTTGTAAAACTTTGCCCAAGTGGGTTACATAATTTCGGAACAGTTTAAAGATAGTTCATCTTCAAAATGAAAGATAAAATTTGAAGGAACTATTTAACCTTTATTATTATTTAAGCATTTAAAAATTCAGTGTGTGAGTGAGTGTTGGATCAATGTTACGTTTTTTTTTACTGGACTTTTTTATTGATTATAATCTCCTCTGGTAGCTTCTGTTTCATTACCTAGCATCTTTATCACACCTTCTCATGTTGTCTACCCCCGTGGCTGCTCTCTGTTTTGTTTTGTTTTGCTGTCAAGCTGCAAGTTTTATTTTTTGCCATCCTGCTTTTCTTTAGCCCCAGCCCCTCAGATAGTTCCCTGCGTGAGGACATGAGTGAACACTTAGAGCTCACACCTGCTGACCAGCTGCCTTCACTTTCTTGCCTTCTTTTTATAGGCAGCTTTATTCCTTGTCCTGTTCCTCCTTCTTCCTCTGAGCTTCAGCTTTTTGCTTTTCAACATTACTGGGAAATAAATAAACAAGTGGCCTAAATACATCTGCTGTGTTGCTCTGATTTCTTCTCTATTATTACTATTTAACAGACTCAGTGACACTCTTTATACCAGATTCTTCCCATTTTTCTTCTAAACATCCTCTTTATGGTAAATTTTTCCTCTTTTCAAGCGCATGCTTTTGACTCTGCAGAAATTAACTTTCTTTTCTCCAAAACTGCAAACACTCATACTTTCTTGCTTGAAGTCATTTGGTTTCTATAAACTCCTGGAAATATTTCTTTCAGGCTGTTTTGAAAATTGCAATTACAGTTTTGGGAGGAATAGACTTTTCCTTTTTTCAAACACATGCTTCATTGCCCAATTCTGGATTGGATTAACGTCAGTTCAATAGCCATTTATTGCATATCTGTCATGTACTAGGCCTCAAGTCCTAGGCTCGGCCCCTGTGTTCGTGATTTATTTCCAAACCATGCCTTTAACCTTTTCCATTCTTCCTCCCTCTGTAGTATACCTTTATCTGTTTCACACTCCTTCCCTTTCAGTATTCAGCCCCATTCACTGCTCTGCCTTGTCTGTTCCTCTCTTCCCAACTGCCATGGAACCTTTTGGTTTCAACTTTTAAACTTTCCATAGTTCCTTTCCCTCCAACGGAAAAAAAAAAATGACCCAAGAATAATAGATCATCGCAGACATTTCAAATAGCCTTCCTTCAGACGTCAGGCTAACTTCATCCTATAACAGGTTTCAATACTACTCACAAGGGTATGGGAGAACAGCTTTTATTTGTCTACCTTGTGAACTTCTTTTTTATTGGGAGATTTTGACATTATCAAAAAAAAAAATTCAAGCGTTTAGAGCCTTAACTTTTGACCTACAGATGGTTTTGCCAATCCTATTAATTTAGTCTTTTTTTTTTTTTTTTTTTTTTGCCCCTACCTGTGAAATGTAAAAATGTATGACCGTAAAATGGGTGGTAAATGATTGTGCCACACCTTTGAAGACTTTAGGGAGGGGTCTTAAGACTCCAGGTAGAAATATTGTACCTTAAAGAGGTGTCTAACTCTGATGTCCTTTAAATGTTTCAGCCCATCGATGGTATGCATGACAAGGGGATTGTAGAAGATATCCACTGTGGATCCATGAAGGGCGCCGGTATGCGACCACCTCACCCAGGCATGGGTCCTCCCCAGAGTCCGATGGATCAACATAGCCAGGGTTTGTGTCTGCTGCATACCTGATTTTGGTTCCATAACCATAGTCTTTCAGTCTTTCTTATTGGATATTTTAGTGATTACTTTGAAAGAAATGTGTATAAGGAAGGTTGAATCCTGCAGGTTTCTTTTCTTTATAAAAATCTACCCCTATCCTCACCAACTCAACTTTATGATTTATATGGGCAAGTTCATTTCCAAGGTTTTAGAAATTTTACTAGCCACCATGTGTCCCAGCACTATGCAAAGTGCTATATGTACTTTATCCAGAATCTTTATCGTGATCTTGTAAGGTAAATGATGTTACCCAATTTTATAGATGGGGAAGCTAAAGCTCATAAAATTTACTTTGTTTCCATAAGTTGACACATCCAGGCAGTGATAGGGCCAGAAAGAGAATCTAGGTCTGCCTCCCGACAACGCTGTAGGTGTGAAGGTGAGATAAGCCACCTGTGTCCCTTAAATTGCATTCTCATACAGGGTCGCTTTTTCTGACAGTGAAATTACCTGTCATTGCTGGTGGGTGGCTATAGTAGTCTTCTAGGACTGCCACAACAATTACCACAAACAGGGTGGCTTAAAACAACAGAAATTTATTTTCTCACAATTCTGGAGGCCAAGTCTAAAATTAAGGTGTCAGCAGGGCCATGCTGTACCTGAAGGCTTTAAGGAAGAATCCTACCTTGCTTCTTCCTAGCTTCTGTGGTTGCCAGTAATCCTTGGCACTCCTGGGCTTGCGGATGCATCACTGCAATCTCTACTTCAGTCTTCATGTGACATTTTTCTGATGTTTGTCTGTGTTCAGATTTTCTTCTTTTTATAAGGATACCGTTCATTGGATTAGGGCCTTTCCTAATCCAGTATGACCTCATCTTAACTGGATTACATCTGCAAAGACCCTATTTCTAAATAGGGTCACATTCAGAGGTACTGGGGGTTAGGACTTCAACATATTTTGGGTGTGGGGGGCGTGGGGCAGACATAATTCAACCTGCAATGATGACCAAATTAATATATGGTATATTTCTTTTCTCCTTTGTGCCTTATACATCCTCTTTCCTTCCCTCGCTGTTGAAGGCATGTTAAGATACGTTAAAGCCTTTTAATACCCTGTGACCTGATTTCAGAATCATTGTGTGGTCATTTCAAAATGCAAAGGGCATGAGTTAATCTAGCATCAAAAAACATTAATATGTAGACATTCTAATTCAAGGCTTATGGTTTACATGCTGCTATATATAATCCTGTGTAATTAAATGTGTGTGAGTTTGTCCTCCATCCATGATCAGATATCTGTCCACCTGAGGGAAGACTTTTGGCTGGGAGGATTTAGAGAAATGTCTTCACAGTTGTTTTCTTGTTGAAACATAAATAGGACAGTCATGGAGGCAAAGGAATGTCTCTCCACTAACATTTGAATAGGCTTTTGAATATCCCAGACTCTGATCTGAATTTTGGTGGCAGGCAGACATGTAATTGTTGCAGATGACTCACAGAATCTTGACCATGTCAGAAAAGTAGTCTGAAGCATTGGGACTTTTTGCAGTACAGGAAGAAAAAATTCGACCCATTCACTGTTACGAATGAATTAAGACAACACTTCCAGGTTGATCATTTAAATTCTGAGGGGCCAGGTGTGTTCACAGAGTTAATGTTGATCTTATTTTTAATACCCGGCTGGGGTAGATGAGTTGTATTCAGTGATTCTTGAAGCCAGGTGCTTGCTCTTTCTGCTCCTGGTATTGCAATACCTCTAATGGTGGGGCCCTAGGAAAACCCAAAAACAAAAAAACACTTTAAATTCACAGATCATAATTGAGAGCATTTTTACCTTTATTTCTCTTAAAATTTCTCTGATCACTTGGCTCCCCTCTTTGACTTAAGAATGATGTCATATTTATGTTGGAATCTACAGCACTTGGCATGATATCAAGCACATGACTGGATAGATACTTAGTAAATTTTTTTTTTTTAATTTTTTCTTTTTTTTTTTTTGAGACAGAGTCTCACACTGTTGCCCGGGCCGGAGTGCCGTGGCATCAGCCTAGCTCACAGCAACCTCTCACTCCTGGGCTCAAGTGATCCTCCTGCCTCAGCCTCCTGAGTAGCTGGGACTACAGGCACGTGCCATCGTGCCTGGCTAATTTTTTCTATTTTTAGTTGTTTGGCTAATTTATTTCTATTTGTAGTAGAGACGAGGTCTCACTCTTGCTCCAGGTTGGTCTCGAACTCCTGAGCTCAAGCAATCCTCCCGCCTCGGCCTCCCAGAGTGCTAGGATTACAGGCATGAGCCACCGTGCCCAGCCTGATACTTAGTAAATTTTGTTCTATTAGGTATGGAAATAAATCTATGCATTAAAATGTCAACAATTTTAAGTAGATCTGAATTTCTAAATGCAATTTCAGTAAGTTATAATCACTTTGAAATGCAAAGGTCTGTATAAAAGGGGATCAGAATTAACATTTAATATTAGTCTCTAAAATAGTAAAGTGCATCGTAGGTTGGGGAATGAGTTATTTAAAGATATATTTTTGAATAAAGCAGTATTGGTATAATGTAGTCCAATTCTATATAATGGTCTAAAAAGAATTTAGACTTGGTAATAGCATATATCTTTTAAAAACTCATTGTAGGAAGCCATTTCTAAATACACAGGTACAGAGAGGTGTGGTATTGATCAGAAGGCTGCCAACTTTAACTACCTAGCAACCTGTTAGGTTATTTTAGGGTATTGGTTGAGAAGCAAAATCATTTCCTTCAATAAGTGCTGAATTGTGTACCTTATGGTCCCAGTGATAACATTGTTTATTTTTAGTCCATTGGATAGAAAAAGCTTTCAAAGACAGGTATATAATATTTAAGTATTGTGTGCAGGTGTGTGCGTGTGTATGTGAAGAGAAAATTCATATAAAATTGGCACTTAAAAGTTCAAGATTATTAATAGGAGAGAGGTTATTGCTTCTCTTTGAGGCAAGGTGAAACTGGGGAGATAATGGCTCTTGAAGACCAGGGAAGGAAAACTGCCACTTTTCGACTGCTTTTGAATGAGCAAATCAAAGAAGATTTCAAAAAGAGTAGAATCTGCATCAACACTGTCATCCTACAGACAAATGTATATTCACTCTGAGGCAATTTCTTCACTGTGTTTTCTCAACTAAAGATAATTACCAAAATATGTGATGTTGTCGTATCATTTAGATTCTGTTTTTCTTCAAGTTTTATGGAATGCTACTCATGTAGGTAGAAGAAAAATCTCTCTCGTTAGCTGAGATACGGTCACGTTTTTTTAATATCATACCATGACAGAATGATTCTATTAACATCCCCTGTAAATTCTGGGATACAATTCTTCCCACCTCCAGTTTCATCTTGCCAAATTTGAGGTGAGATTTTCTTGTATTGATTAATGCTCAAACATGACTTTGATTCTACTCTGAGTTTCTTTCTTATCAAATTTAAGGTAAAATTTGTTCGTATTGATTTTTCCAGTGACCAGTTTCTCTTTTTCAGAGCTCAACCTCGTGTCCTTAATGTAAGCATCTCGCCTTCATAATGTTGCCTTGCTCCTCACCCTCATACGGATGCCTCATTCGTAGTTTAAAAGAGTGATTTGATGAACAGTCTTAGAAAGTTGAGTTTAGACTGAGTGGCCTAATATTTTGGTCCATTGTTTTAGGCTTCCTATAATTTGTCATGAGTGAGCTTATGATTGACAACCTTAGGAAATAAGAGAGACCAGTAAGCAGGAGACATGTGAACCCTTTTAACCCCTAGCGGGATCCCTCGTAGTATGAAAATGTAAATAGGTTTGATGGAAAGTTTTTCCCCCTCTGGTAGCTTCAAGACTGTCCAGAACCAGGTGTCACAATGAACTAACTACCATTTTGTGCTGGCGTCACAGTGAAAAGGTGAATGTAGGCCTCATGAAGAAGGAAGAGTGTTAATGATGAAGTTAAGTGTATGTTATTGCTATTCACTAAATGTTTATTGTTAGACATGACAGCATTTTGGGATTTACATTTCTGCCAGTCTTGCAGGCTGATTTCAGGGGAATTTTTTTTGGCTAACTTACATAACCAACTAGCAGCCTCATCGTGGCATGCTTTTTGTGCTCTCTCGTGGAGGAGGGATTTGAGAAGTGATATTTATCGGTTCTTCCATTTCCCTTCAGGGCAGGATTTCCCTGAATGGAATTCTACTTCTCACCGATGGATAGAACAAAACCCATTCTTGTTTTAGGGGATCGTGGTAAATTTGCTTCTCTCTGTAAGTGGCAACTGGAGATTAAAGTCACTGTGTCTTTGATTTTTTCTGGTCTCATGAATGGTGATGGTGAATTCCTAGTCGGTGATGGTTATGTATTCTGGGGCCTCTGTGATTCTGTGTAGATGTACAGAGCTCTTACAGTTCAAACGTGACATAGCTTCACACATACAGCAGATATCTAATAAACACCTCTGTGATAACCTTTATGATGACTGTGCCATGACTACATTTATTAAAGGGCAAAGACTTTTCATCTACGTATGTAACACTGTGTTTTAGGAATCTTTGACTTGATTAATTGGCACTTTGTTTGAACTCAAGGCAACATTTCGGATTGTTGTAGGCTTACTGTGTTCTCCCCTTCATCTTGAATCTCCCTCCAACAACACCCAGTCATGTGTTTTTCTAGGAATTCTTTGGCCAGGCTATGCAGGTCATCTCCTGAAATAAGTTCCCGGAAGTTTTTATGCATTTTCATTTTCCTTCCCCCGAAAAGTGTTTTTAAATTTCCCATTTAGATCTGTCATAAACCAAACAGTTCACTCTGATTTTTATGTTATATTGTAAGTGGATCTAGAAGATTTTTAAAACTTTTAAGTCCTTAACTTGTTATCATATAACCAAATTTTTGTTAGATCACGGAAAGGACATACATGTTAGAATCAGACAGACCTTGGTTTAAATCTTGGAGCTACCAAGAGTTAATTGTGTGACTTTGAATAACTCGCTTACTCTCCGAGCCTCAGTTTCCTCGTTTTAAAAAATGAGGTAACAGTGTATATCTCCCAGGGTTGTTGTGAGGACTGGGGAAATAATGTATGTTCTGTTCACATCCTCTTGGTGCCCCTTATGATGGCTACAACCCCACCAGCCTGATTTCTCCTGGCCGGAACCACTGTCTTGGGTTACTTCCATCTACTGACACCCTCTTACCTGTGCCTGGAAAGGTCCCTGGAGAATAATGGTCCCGGAGCATTAGTCATAGCCAGTGAAATAACCAGTGACTGATGATTGTTAAGAGTATACATATCCCAGCATCTTCACCCCCTTTTCTAGGATAATTTGGAGGCAAGTTACTTACCTTATATCCCAGAGCATCTTCCCTGGATTAATCTTCAGACACCCACTACAGCAGCAGGCTCGATAATACACCTTTTATTGGCTGCCTTCTGTTCTTTCTGTCACCTTTGTGTACTTCTACCAGTGTCCCTGCACCTCACCAATAAATTGTCTGCACTCAATCCTTGGATCAGGCTCTGCTTCTAGGGAGAACTAAGAGATAGTTGAGTGTAACTCACCTCCTTGCAAAATGCCTACAGCATGTAGGCCCTCAATAATTGCAAGTTATTCATAACGTGCATAATAATAAACCAAATATTTGCTCTTCCCACAAGACGTTCTTCATTCCCCATCGAGACATATTAGACACCTTCAGGTTTTGTTCTGTCAATTGGAGCTACTTTTAACAGATAGTACTATTCCCCGGAGCCTGTCCTGTAGGTATACAACAGTCACTGCCAGTTTGCCTTCTAGGACACTTGTGGCCATTGATCGCTTCAAGTGTGGTTAGTCCAAATTGAGATGTGCTTTAAGTGTAAAATACTTACTGAATTTCAAAGACTTACTATGTAAAAAAGAATGTAGACTATCTCATCAATAATTTTTATGTTTTGAGATGATAATATTTTAGATATGTTGGTCTAAATAAAATATATTACTTAAATAAACTTCACTTTTTTTACCTTTTGAATATGGCTACTAGAAAATTTTAAATTTTATACATGTATATGGATCAAAAACACATTAAGGTTAAATGCCAAAATCAGTATTATTAAAACTATTAAGAAAAAATGGTAAATACTCCATGTAATTTTAAAGGTTCTCTTCAATCTTGGTCTCTACAGCCAGAATGTCATACCACCCAACCTAGTCTAAACTATAGTTCTCACAGTGACAAGGCTGAGGATAGGAAAAGCTTTGAAGCAAAAAAGATCCCAAGGCCTAAATACAAGATAAGTTAATGTTTACGCTCTCTCTAGGTGTTAAAGAAATAATCCTGACATTATAACACAAATCAACTATGATGTTACCATGCCAAGTAAAAAAAAAAAAAAAAAAAATTAAATATCTCAACTGTTCACTGAATTAAACTGTATTTCCTGTTGATTTCTCGCTAAATTTAATTCTTCCATTTAACATAAAAAAATTATATAATAGTTAAAGACCAGTATGCTGAATTGCTTTTTATGTCAGAAATCTACCTTATTTTTTATAGGGTACTATCTCCAGAATAAGCTTACCTGTTCCATTAAAAATGTTACTTGATAAGGAGTTATTCATTCCAAATGCCTGATTCCTGTTCATTCCAAATCCAGACATACTGGGTACATAGAAAATAATTTTAGATATACAGTAAGAACACTAACTTTCAGATGAAGAAAAACAAAAGAAGTGTATACTTTTGGTCTCCTCTCATAAAACAACAACATGTTTCAAAACCAATACTAATATTATTCTTCTGAGTTTAATCTTTATTTTTACTTAAAAACTTCTCTAAAGTCCTTCCATGAATAAATGAGAACCAAACACCTTAAACAGATTAGTTAAAAAACAAAAATCAAAGAATTTACATATGAACCTTGAGGAAAACAGATTAAGGGTACACCATTTTGTGTAGCTGGAGAGCCTGCTTACTGCATACCAGAAGTACCTAACCTCAAAAATACCCAGGTTACTGTTAAGGCTATTCTTCCTAAATACTTGTTTTTCTTCCCTTATTAGTAAAGCTTGCTATTATTTTTCATGATAGATCTTCTCTCATATACGGTGTCTGTTTTTCCCACCTAGAATATAAACTCCTTATAGATAGTGTCCATGTCAGCTTCCTCTTTTAAATCTTCTGTCCTTTAGTGTTTAGGAAGACACAATAGGCACTCAATAAATGTTTAGCTGACCTAAATTAAATTAAATGGTGTTATTCTTTAATTGAATTCAGTGTTCTAAAACACATCATTCTTATCTAAATATAGTTTACCTTTCATCTACTTAAAAGAAAAAAAAAATCTCTCTGTAGTGCCCCCAAT